GTTGCAAGTTGGTTTATAAAAACAAAAATTCTCAGCATGTGAATGGAAGTTTTGGTCAGTTTAATTGGTTTTGATAGATTGCAGTCTGGGGGTGCCTCAACAGCATATCTTATGGACGAGTGTAAAATCATACAAAGCAACTTCTAGATTTCCATTTCTCCGGTGCAGACTCTACAGCTGCTGCCTTTTTCTTTTGCTGGAATGTTGATAGCAATCACAACAGATTCACTGTCATTATCACAGCAAAATCTGGTCCACTATGTTTTGTTTTGAGGTGTCAATTTTTAGTATGTAGTACTTAGTAATCAACACTGCCGCTACGCCACAAGCCCTCACAGAATTGCTTTTCCAACCCGTGAGATTAAATGCTTTGATTCTCCCTGTGTCCAGGAATATATTTATGTCCTCGCTGTCCATCATGGGATTGCTAGGTACATAAGAACACCCTGGAAAATTTCCACCATTGTAATCTGTTGTGGCTGATTTACTAGATGCACTTGTAATAATTGTGCTTTTCCACATTGTGCAAGGCCAGTGCAGGATTCAGACGCATGAGTCTCATGCAGGCTGCTGTACATCAAAGATAGATTTGCTGCATTCATTAAAAGGGCAGAAATGAATGTTGTAATTTCCAACAATTTTGCCTTCTAGCATTCAGTTGACTGCATGAGATTATATGAATTAGGAAGCAATGGTGCTAGTACAGCTTTTTGCCATTTTATACAAGTTCTTAGAATCTGAAATGCATTGCTTGACACAGCGTTTGGAAGCAGATTCGTTGAAGAGCTTTCGAAGGGAAATTGAGAAACTACTTGAAGGAAAGAACTCAGGGCTGACAACGAATGCAAAGTAGTTTCCAGTGGTGTGCCAGTTTTGGGTCACTTTTTCTGCTTTATACTAATTATTTTGTTTTAAATTTAAAATGTGGAGGTTCCAAGGGATCCGAAAACTGTTTTGACCCAGATGGTGGTGAGTGTCTGAAGTTCACTGCCCTGTTCTGGTGATTTGAGGTGGAAGTACTCAACTCATTTAAAAGGAACCTGGATCTCTACCTGAAGCTTTGAAACCTACAAGACTATGGGCGAGATGCTGTAAAATGGGATTGGAATAGACGGTTAGTTTATTCAGCCGATACAGACACAGTGGGCTGAATGGCCTTGTTAGATGCTATAATATTTCAGTGGTTCTGTGAAAGGAGGATTGGGATGGTTTAGAAAGCTCTTTTCAAATAGCTGCTCAGGTAAGGTGGGATCACGGTCTCATTCTGTGCTGTATCCAAATATTAACTGATAGCACAAAAGTCTGTCGAACCTCTCTGCTTTGTTGCAATAGCCATACAAGTAATGACTTCTAATTAAATAGCATTAATGTAGTAAAGTGCTCCAAGATATTTTGGCAGAATGGTTACCAAACAAACTGATTTTACCCTGATCTGATCATTTTAGTACTAGGCACAGGTAATGGCAAGGGAAATATCTAAGCCAACAAACAGTGCTGCATTTCTATTAGCGTGCCGGTGTTGGAGAAGAGTCTGCAGTATAAATGAGGCATTGCTTGTTCCTCCTGTGGCATAGGTTCCCATCTCACAAACTCCAGCAACTGCTGCAGATGACTAATTTGTTCTAGGATGGGAGAGGGAGACTGAACATCAAGTAAAGAAAAGACTTGCATTTGAGTCATGTTTCACAAATTCTGAAAGTCCAGCAATACGTTATGGCCAGTTAAAAACTTTTGTGAATTGTAATCTCAAATGTGGTAGCTAATTTGTGCACACACCCCACAAACCACAGTGGGGTAATGACCCGATATTCTGTTTTAGTGATTGTTGGTTGAAGGATAGCCTTTGACTAAGACAGCAAAGAGAACCTCCCTGCTCTGTTTTGTTTGAAATGGCACCATGGGATCATAGCTCTGTTTAAATTTCATTGAAAAGATGGTAATGCTGATGGTACAGCACTCCTTCAGTACTGCACTGGAAAGTGCGCGACAGTCTCTGAAGAGGTACTTCAACTCGCCACTTTTAACTCTGCACTGCGAATGATCCTGTCCGATAACATGGCATTAGCCACTTTAAATCTGTACAGTCTTCGTGTGCAAGTGAGACAATCGATTTCCAAAAACCTTATGAAACTGCACAGGGCATCTCCCAATTCCTCTGCCTCTGCCGCATCTGCTGCCAAGATGGGGCGTTCCACTCCCAAGCATCCCGGATGTCCTTTTATTTTGAGGACCGCAACTCTTTACCCCTCCCCAACCTTCAGTGTTCAAAAATGCTCTTGACCGCATCTCTTGCATTTCCCACACCTCTGCCCTCACACCCCCCTCCCCGCCATAAAAACAAAGACAGAATTCCCCTTGTCCTCATGTATCACCCCACTAACCTCCGGATTCAACGTATCATTCTCTGCCACTTTTGCCATCTGCAATCAGACCCCACAACCGAAGATATATTTCCCTCCCCACCCCTATCTGCGTTCCGGAGGGACCGCTGTCTCCGCGACTCCCTCGTCTGCTCCACACTCATACCATCCCCGGCACCTTTCCTTGCAACCACAGGAAGTGCTACACCAGCCCCTACACCTCCCCCCTCCCCTCCTATCTAAGGACCCAAAACAACCTTCCACATCAGACAGGGGTTCACCTGTACATCTGCTAACGTGGTCTACTGCATCCACTGTTCCCAATGTGGCCTCCTCTACATCGGTGAGAACAAGCGGAGGCTTGGAGACCGCTTTGTGGAGCGTCTGCACTCTGTTTGCGACAAACGACAACACCTTCTGGTCGCAAGCCATTTCACCTCTCCCTCCCACTCCCTGGATGACATGTCCATCCTGGGCCTCCTCCACTGTCACAACGACGCCATCCAGAAACTGGAGGAGCAGCACCTCATATTCTGCCTTGGGAGCCCACAACCCAATGGTCTCAATGTGGACTTTACTAACTTCAAATACTCCTCACCCCATGACCAACCCTCCCTCTCATCCCCGCCTCCTTGACCTGTCCGTCTTCTCTCCCACCTATCCATTCCTCCCACCTCCCTGACCAATCCCTACCACTCCCTACCTGCACTCCCCTATCACCATCCCACCTACGTTCTCCAGCCCCACCCCTCCTCTCTCTCTTTATTTCAGAGCTCTCTTCCCCATTTCTGAAGAAGGGTCCTGACCTGAAACGTCAGCTTACCTGCTCCTCTGATGCTGCCTGGCCTGCTGTGTTCCTTCAGCTCCACACGGTGTTATCTCTGACTCCAGCATCGGCAGTTCTTACTATCTCAGAGAATCTTCTATTGTGTTTTAAATTGAAATAGATGTTCCAGTCATCATTGGAATAGCGAAGCTAAACTTTTGAAATTTTGTTTCTGGTTTTCACGTGAGTGGTGACTAATTCTTGGCCAGTAACAAGTTGCTAGTGGTTCCTGATTTCTTGTCAAAGTGACTGTTCTTGATATGTGAGTCTTTGATGGTGACTGTTTGGAGATCACTGAAAGTACCTGATCCTTCAGTGAACCAAGGTCCGCACATACTTTTTGCAGATAATATTTAAGAGTGAAACCTCTATCTGAGTTTCTTTTTAACATGTCTCTCCCTAAACCTAGATCACTAAGTCGAGTTGTAACTACTACAGCTCTGTCCTGGATGAGATCAGCACAGACCAAGAATTTAAAATGAACCTTGTTAATCTGTGAATCAGCACTACACTACGGAGGGAGGATAGGGTGAGATTTTGCACTGTGTTTAATTAAATCATACGTGCATTGTTTATAAATGCATCCATCATTTTACTACATTGCAAGGCTCTACTCATGGTCTGAACATGAGCAAAGATCAGAGATCGAGGCTTAACACTGTAAGGTCACCTCTGCAGTCCATGCTTCCGTCTTGACTAGGAGCCTCACACCATTCAATTTTCATCATCACAGAGGAAATCTTCCCCTGTGGTGTGTTCACTCCAGCAGCTGCCAAAACCACCCCCCCCCCCCCCCCACCTACCCCCACCCAGCCACACTTATTTTTCATTCACATTTTCTTTCCTGCTTTCAGTTTCCCTGGATTGTGCACACTGTTTCCTAACCTGCTCCCATTGCCAGTTCTTGAGCCAGCCACCAGACATGTAAGCGCATCTCTGGGTGACTGAACCGCCCCCAGTTTTCTCTCACTGCTCTTTAGGAAGTGCTTGGCCTTTGCTTGATGGCTTGTCCAATGTGAATCAAATGTTTTAAACCTCCTTGATGGGAAATTCCGTACAGGGATACAGCTACACCACAACCTCATGACAAAACATCATCTTTCACCAGAGCTCAAAGAATTGCTAACAGTCTGATTTGTTAACTCTTTCCAAATCTGCACATTCTGTCTAACAGCTTTTTTTTCAACTTCAGATCTTGTCTTAAACTCCATTGAGAAATGAATTTTAAGCAAGAAAAATTAAAATCTTCCCTCTTGTTCACTTATTGCTTATCAAAACCTGTCCCACAACATTCAGAAAATTAAGGCAACATGGGACATGAGTATTACGATGTTTTCCATCATCATTTTGTACCACCTTGCAGCTCATTCAGCAGGGATTTGTACCCCAGGGCAAGACAGATGGAGTGTCCTTTTTTTTTTGACTGACTGTGCTGGAACAGCCCAGTGCCTTGAGTGAAAAATAAAGTAACTAGTTCTCTATGTGGTTACCATATCTGTTACCAGGCACAATTGCTGTATGGATTCAGATTCTTAGCCTTGGATATGTAGTGAAAACAATAGTTGTTATTTTACCAAGTCAGCATTCTGTAATTGTTCTCATTAATAATGAATCTCGTGAAGATTTTGTACTGAACTGTGATATTCACTATACAAGTTGAGTAAATTACATTAAAGATCAGTATTATTTAAATGCATAAAATCATTTAAATAAGTGATTTTTAATGTTTCAGTAGAACCTGAGGCTTTACAAATTAATAACTTATTAAACTGTAATAATTCTTGTTTAACCTTTCCTATTCTTTTAACTTGTAGGGGTCCCTACGCCTAGTCAAGAAATCCTTCGCCATACTTTGAACATGCTTGTTAGAGAGCGGAAAATTTACCCAACTCCTGATGGATATTTCATTGTAACTCCTCAGACTTATTTTATCACCCCTTCTCTCATTAGAACAAATAGCAAATGGTACCATCTAGATGAAAGGATACCTGACCGGTCTCGATGTACTTCACCACAACTTGGGACTATAACTCCATCTAACTCTGGCTGCCTCCGAGACCGAGCCCATCACAGAAACCACTGTGATTCTTGCAATTGCTTTAGAGAAGAGTTCCACAATCACTCATCCACTCTACAGAAAAGATCGACGAAGGAATGTAAAGATTCCTATTGCCCTCCTTCTTTCAGCCAGATGCCAGTAACCCAGACTGAGAAAAGCAGGAGTACAGTTAACTGTTCGTACAAAACTGAAACATTGCCAAAACCCAAGGATGGAGAAAAACAGTCCAAAAAGTTTGGTTTGAAATTGTTCAGATTGAGCTTTAAAAAGGACAAGTCGAAACAGTTAGTGAATTTTTCAGCCCAGTTCCCTCCTGAGGAATGGCCACTGCGTGATGAGGACAATCCAACTTCCATACCAAGGGAAGTGGAACAGGAGATAATCAAACGCATTAATCCAGACCTGACTGTGGAAAATGTCATGAAGCACACAGCGCTAATGAAGAAGTTGGAAGAAGATAAGGCCCACAGAAATAAGGCAGGATCATCTGCCCAGCACAGCGGCAAGAGCAAAAAAAGTAGAAGTCACAAGAAGTCCCATGGTAAATCCCGGTCACACAGCAAGTCCAGGGCTCCAAAAGGGGAACAATCAGAAGATACCCATCTGGATGTCACAGAATCCAGAGAATATGAGTTTTATGATCCAATTACCAGATCCCCATGTGAAAAAAGTACCACCATAGAAACGAAGGGTGATAATGGCTTTATCTCGCATGATAAAATGAACGTGGTTGAATCTCATTTTCCTGTGACCCCGGAGTGGGATGTGTCTGGTGATCTTTACAAGCGAAGGATGGAGAGCCGATTTCATGAACATTCTCGGGAAAGTTTGCAATCCAAGGTTCATCGGAGCCACAGCCATACTCAAGACAGAAAATCAAGAACTGATAGGACCAGCAAGGCTAAGGAGAGGTCTAGGTCAGTGGATAATTCTAATCGACTTCTTGGCGCAACTTTGTCAGGTACAGCAGAAGAGTTGCAAGAATGCAGCTTGGATGAAAGCCAGTCAAATAATAACAAATTACGTTCTTCCAAATTACTAGGTCACCACAGACCCGGACTGTCATCGCATTCAAATCATATTACTGAGCCAAGCATACCAGAATGTGTTAATATTGATGATTCAGCAACATATAGTGAAGCCTGCAATCCAGTGGAACACGCAAGACTTGGAGATGGTTTGCCCAAAAACGATGAACCTAACTGTGCTACCGATGCAAAAGCTGATTACTTTCAATGTAATGCACCCAAGGAGACTGTTCAGGCTGTGTCTTCTCCATCAGCTAAATGTAATGATGAGTGTCTGTTTAAAGATTATGATACTTTAACCTTGTCAGATGGTGTCAAGAAGCTGTCTCCTTTGGATGGGTTCTTGAAATACCCACCTATCGAAGAGAATGTGAATGGACAGCTTGAACAATTGTCACTACAGCAGAAGCATTATCCTGAAACGATGGATATGAACAGCGTTAATTTGCCGGTAGCTGGGCAATCATCTACCCCATCATTGCCAAATGGACAAGTATTTAAATCGCAGTCAGAAATTCAATCTGTAAATCACATGGAGAATAATTATCAGGAATCCACTTTGTATGAATCACAACATAACAAACCATCGGAAGTGCTTCACCCAGACTGTGAGAACTTTGTTGGTTTAACAAGCGTGGCACAATCACTGCCTGTTCTACCGGGGCAGGAGGATGAAACAGGACATCAGGAGTCTTCCTTTGACTATTACAATGTGTCTGATGATGACTCGGAAGATGGGACCAACAAAAACCAAGAGGAGGGTAAAAGCCGAGATGATGGTGGGACTGTGCAGTGGTTGTTGGAACGAGAGAAAGAGAAAAATCTCCAGAGAAAGTTTGAAAAGAACCTAACTCTTCTGAGCCCAAAAGAGAGTGACAACAGTACCAGCCAGAAAGCTTTGCATTCTGCTCGATTGGATAGTGTGGACAGCAGCAGTATCACTGTAGACAGTGGATTTAATTCTCCACGGTAAGCAAGAAAATAAATCCAAACAGCCATTCGTTTGAGACTTGTAGTACGTTTTTCATCTTGTGCTGGATTATTTCATGTACTGGACTTTGAAAGTAGCTAACACAAGTAAAACATGTAAACTATAGGAATAAAAATTTTGGTTTTGGCCTTGCACAAAGTGTGATTTACTCTAACAGTATATTTTATATTTTGTAGATGCTTTTAAGCTGTATTGAGAATTTTATAAACCAACAAGTAGCTTTCTCTCACCAGAAAAGGGAGATTATGAAGCGATTTGGTGTAAATGGTCTAGACATCCAGTGATGCAGGTGCATGGGGACAGGAGTGAGGAGAGACGCGGATCTTAAATCCAACCACAGCAGCTGGCTGACTTTAAAAAATCAATTAATAAATCTGGGATATAAAAAATAGTCTCAATGGTGACCTTGACAACCATTGATTAATACTAAAAATCCATCTAGTTCATTAATTAAGGAAGGAGAGCTTCTGTCCTTACTTGGTCTGGCCTTTTTGTATGACTCAAACCCACAGCAGTGTGGTTGATTCTTAACTGCTCTCTAAAATAACCTAGCAAGTCACTCAGTTCGAGGGAATTAGGGGAACAAAGTTGGCATCTCATCAAAGAATATAAAGAAAAGTTCCTATGAGGCAATATTCTGACTTTTTGCTCCTGGTTCAAACTTTTTCCTCTGGCCATGGAAAGTGTTTGTCATCCCAAATAGTTCGAAACACTTGCGCTGTGCACTCCCAAAATTCCAGTATAATTTTCAGCAATGGTTACTTCCTGTCTGAAGTAATATATTAGAATACCAATCCTCTTTAAGTTGAAAGAAAGTTGAAACAAATTACACAGAAACTCAGAAACATTTAGTGTATTGCAGTGAAATTAGTAACTGTCAGTCATTATGCAACAGAGTATTATCTAATAATTAGGGCGGCACAGTGGGTCAGTGGTTAGCACTGCAGCCTCACTGCACCAGGGACCTGGGTTCAGTTCCACCCTTGGGCGACTATCAGTGGTGTTTGCACATTCTCCGTGTCTGGATGGGTTTCCTCTGGGTGGCTGGGTTTCCTCCCATGGTTAAAAGGTGTGTAAGTTTGGTGGCTTGGCCATGCTAAATTACCCCATAGTGTCTAGGGGTGTGTACGTTAGGTGCATTAACCATAGGAAATGCAGGATTGGAGGGATAAGGTAGGGGAATGGGCCTGGATGGGATGTTCTTCAGAGATGCTGGTGTGGACTTGTTGCGCCGAATGGCCCATTTCCACACTGTAGGGATTCTATTCTATTCCAATTTGTCATCAGTTTCTCCTGCTTTAAGATTATCCTCAGTTTAACTAAAAAGTCTCTGATGATTTTCCAATTTTGTGTTGAATTTTACCCTATTATTGTAATTGATCATCTGAGTAAAACTGCCTATTTAGCATAAAAATTATGGACTATTTTAATGCTTTGAATACATGCCCAACATTAACTGGTCTAAGATTCCATGTGCTTGGCCCATTTGTATTGGAGCATGCAAGAGGGTGAGGGGGTGGGGGGAAGAAATCTCATGCGAATGAGCTGGAATTACTCCAGGTTGGTGCAAACGCAGTTCTAATCCACTGTATCATCTGGGCCTACCTCACCTAAATGTGAAGCAGGAGGAACTGAGGGGAGTGTGCCTGCATTAGTTTTGATTTTAATGATAAATTATCGTAGTGGTCCCTCTTTCATTCTGACTGTTTGTTTGAATTTAATGCCTTTTTGCTTTGTTGTTTCTTCTAGGCCATTCATGATTGTGATTCTTATGATAACTGTTAGCATTTTCAGCACAAGTTGCAGGTTGAGAAGATTAAAGGTTACATTTTTATATTAAAAGCACAGTCAATTTCATTTAATAAACTGAACATGTACAGCTGTGAAAGATGTACCACTTGTGAAAAATGTGTATGTACTGGTGAAGGATTGCAGTAGAATACTATGTCGTTCTATTCCACCAAGTAACAGCTTCAAATGTAATGCCAAAATCTCTGCATCGTCCTGAGTGTGTCTCCCCAGTTGTTTCCCCACTCCATTGCTAACAAAACTTTGGAAGAGCCATATCAGTTGAAATACACTGGAACTTTATATTTCCTACACAATGGAGACTTCTGGCCTCTTGAGTTGAATTACCCAAGGAGGTCAAAAGTTGTGAAGGATTAAATGTTGTGGCATTAGTGTTTGGAAGCATTAATATTTTTCCATCCATGGTGTCTTTCAGTACTCGTGAAAGTCTGGCCTCTAACACTTCAAGCGTAGTAGAAAGCAACAGGCGTCAGAACCCTGCTCTTAGTCCTGGACATGGAGGCTCGTCAGCATTCAGTTTCCGAACAACTACAGATCCTGCACCAAGTGAACCTGAAAAACTGCAGAAGCCCATGAAGTGTCTAGCTTCCATTACCAGTGTTTGAGCACTGTTAGTCGTAGCTGTCAGCTACAGATTCTGTATCACACCCTCAGCAGTTATACACCTGCACCTCAAATGATTTGAAACACTATGATACTATCAGGCATGCTCCTACATTTAAAAGAAGTGGTAAACTAAATATAGAAGCCATTTATATGATTTGGAGCTTTTTTTCATAAGTACTTATTAATTTTACTTCTTCATCCTTTAGGTATTGAGTGGGTAATGCAGCTTACTGCATGGCATTCGCCTACATCATACTGCATGAAACATCCATTGCGGTTTTGATAAAGAAGAAAAAAAGCACAAATTCGTTTGCACTTCATGACTTTGGTTTCTTGATGGTATTCTATGACAACTTCATGTTTATAAATAATCTTCTTTAGAGCATTACGAAACCAGCAAATAACTGCTGTGATTTTGTGAAACCAGTGCATGTGTTAAATCTGAACAAGCACATACATGACTGTCTTACACACTGAAGATATTATCTTCAAACTTGTGGTCAGTGATTTCCAATAAACATTGTGAAAAGCTATATGGTACCAACAGATACATGTTGCACTATTGAAAGGTAAAATAATGTCTGATTTTTTTATTGTACAAGATTATACATCTCATGTTACTGTACATAAATATTGAAGGTGTCAAAAGCAAACCCTGTAGAAAAAACAATAAAATTGCTACAAGTTTTACAGTTGTGGTAAATCTTATATCAATATGATATGTGAATTTAATGTGCATTGTTTTCTTGTGCAAATAAATATGCTTCAGAGAAAATGCTGAATAAGCAGCTCTCAGATTAAGAAAAAATATTTTTTTGCATGTATGAAGAGAGTTAGTAAGCAGTACATTTGAGGTATTTCAATCACTGCAAGACAAAATTTGAGCAACTCAACACCTCACCTGGATCCCTTTTAAATGTGTTGCTATAAATTGCTCCCTCCTGTAACTGTCTAAAATACTTTCCACACTAGTTTATATATGAGCTTTATAGTGGAACCTTAGCACCCTTGGTTGATGATAGTCTGAGGTCTGACACAGTTTATTATCAAATATTATCAATGAGCATGTATTGCTTAAGTGCGTGATGCCACAGATAAAATGGTACTGGAAAGCTATTTGTCGGATATTGTGGCTCGTGCAGCCTGGTTCTGTGTTTTATTTAGTACCAATTCTAGCACAGTGCCAGGTTCTTCTCTCACTTAATCTAATTTCTAATTTGTGCCCATTACTCGCCTTTTTGTTCTGTGATGCCATTTAAGATATTTACATTACTTCATATTGTGGCTTTTGTTACACCAAAGCTTCTGACGATGCCGCAGTTTCACGTATTGAAAGAATGCTTCAATGTGAAGCTAGACTTCTAGTTTTGCATCTCCATGTTTAAATGGGTTGGGCTTTGTTGTCTTTTCTGCAAATCTTATCCCTCAACAGGTGGGATATTTAAAAGAAAACAGAATAAAACTTCTTAATTGGAAAACCTGCAGTTATTGTTGCTGCAGTAAAATCTGTTAAATCTGCAACGTTGTAACAAAATACTTATCAGGCGTAAAGATGTTCATGGCAGTAATAATACGAGAAGAATTTATATCTACCTTCTTTATAATTTGGTTTGTACGGAAACTATTCCTACAAAAAGGAAGATGCGGTTCTTTTTAAACGGTTTAACTATGAACTGGCAAAGAAAACTTTTTTTTAAAACAAAACTTGCAATGTATATATGTTAAAAAGATAAGTGTGCCTGATCTGTTACATCTACAATAGGATCTTTAATTGAACATTGCAGATGAGATGCGTTATCCTTATGGCAGTGGTCGATCTGAAATAGCCTTCAATGTATGTAACAAAGACGTTTTTCACTGTAGTTAAGATGTTGTTCCTGTTGCACATAACTACCTCCATAAATTTATGAAATGGTAGCAGAACCTCCCAATGTAGCATGATTTTCTATCTTTATGACTTCACCATCCTTGCCCCTCCCTGCCCTGCTTGCTTTCTTTCTTTCTATCTCTGTTACCATCTCATAAATAAGCTTTCACCAGAGTATTGCTTCTGAATTTTTTACACTGGTGCTTTAACTCCTTGAAGCGTGGTTCCCAAACTAACTTCCATACAATAATAGTAATTTAAATTTGATGTCTTGTTTTGAAACATATCAAAGCTCACAAGAGTAGACAACTTTAATGAGGAGATTGCATCAAGTGTTGGTCTATTTTTTACAGATTAAATTCAAAGGAATAAAGTTTTTTTTTCTTGTGAATAACTGAGTGAATTAGTATCAAATTAAGTACAAACGCAAACAGCTTTTTTTCATGCAGAAGGGAGTAGAGCAGCCAAGACTGCCTTGCATAAATATGTTTGCACTGAAAAAAAATAACAAACATTTTTTAAAAATGTGTCTTTCTGGATGCTGTTTAGTTATCCAGTTAGATGTGTTTATATATTGTAAAACTATTTCTTACCAAATTTTGGTTCATGGAATGTCTTCCCTAACGTTACTGGATTATGTTATAGCAGACTATAACAAGCTTGTTTTTGTAAGTGTATTATACTGTAAAAATGTGTTTTGTCATTGCTTAGTACAATAACTTGAACTGTAAACAGGGATTTTTTTTCATGTTCCTTATTTAAAAGTCCCTTTGTGTAAACTGTGTTTCTGTTGTTACTTTGTAGCTTGTGCAGATCTCCCCTTTGGGATTGTGTTATTTACTTTAAAGCCATTAAATAACATGTTTCTTTAACATTTTGAGATTTGTATTTTTTTTCTTAAAAGAACACATGGGTTGTTTATGTCCTAAAACCTATAACATGTTAACGTATTATTAGATCCAACTTGATTTCACTTTCTCTTACTTGAGTATTTCCTGTTATAATTTTGTAATTTCACCACCTCCTTGACTCCAGCATCAATCTTTCTTTTTGTCCTTTTTTTACATTTTGATAGTTTGGAAGTGTGGGTTTTCAACTTGTCACCTCAATATAAAAACTAATGTTACAAATTGGTCACATGTTACAACATCAGCCCAATTGGTGTAATTTAATTCACTTGATCTTTTTCTAGAACAGTTGGTCTGAAATGACATTTACAGTAATGCAATAACTTGAAAATATACTCTGTGTACTCCAGTCAGCTTAAGTGCAATTTCTAATTTTTAGAGAGAATGCAACATAAGCTATAACAAGTGTGTGGTGTAACCTGTAATTTAGTTCCTCATGCATACAGCCTCTCACTTTTTTAAGTTTTTGTTTGAAGAAAAGCTAGGAATGGAAAGTGGTAGAAGTTTAAAGTATTCCATCATTATAAGTGATTTGATTATTTAACAGCTTCAGTTTGACCTGGAAAATTAGCAACATTGTACATACTGAGGTTTCACCATCTATATGAAACCTCAACTTTGGATTTAAAAAATTGAACAAGTGTTTGGAAAAATATTCTGCAGCCTTCAAGTCAAAGTGTTTAATACAGATATTCAACTTAAAATGCTTGTGTATATGTTACTTTTCTGAATGTGAGATAGTGGTTCAAGAAATCTAGAAGGTACTAGTTTGCATATTTGAAATTCTAGTTAGGGGGGGGAAACTGATTGACTTAAAAACATTTCTGGAAGTATTTTAGAACTGTATGAGAATCTGAAGGCCCCATTATGAGATCACATTCACTAACTATGAAATAGCAGCGATTACATGTAAAACAGGCTAGTGCTATGAACGTGGCCTATCATTGTAGTTTACAAGGGTTTTGTGTTGAGCGTGCAATAAAATGCTTGCACTTCATATCATGTTTAAGATCTAACTGGATTTCATATGGCAGTGTGTGCAATAAGTCAAGAATATGGTCACTCTTCCAATCTCTGTAATTCTGTTCCTAATTCTGTTTCCTTTTCCTTCCCTCTGTGCCATAATCTTTTTTTTTCCCACAAACTTGCCTATCTTCCTGTTTCTTTTCAGAGGGAAGTTGGTGGCTATTTTGTGCTGGGGCAAGGAAGTTCAAATGACCATGTGCTGGTGTCTTACAGATACGAGGCTGGAAAAGCACAGTGGGTCAGACAGCATCCGAGGAGTAGGAAAGTCAATGTTTCAGCCCGAAACCCTCCATCAAGACTGGGGCTGCATTTGTATTTTTCTTTATTCCCAGATGTAAAAAAAAAAGCCACTTAAAAAAAAAAAGGATCCATTTTAAATTTAGTATTTTGGTTTATCCAGTGCAATGCTTGGAAAAAGACAATACATACTTTATGACTTGGAACATGATAGGACTCTGTTTCAATCAGTTATGTAGATCTAAATTGCAGCAGGGATTAGAACTACCAAAGAAGGTGCATTGTCAACACCTTTTAATATATGGAAGCCAATTACCAGTTCTGATTTGTAATGATGCTGAAATAGCCAATTTTTAAATCTTGTGAGTTCTCATGGGAAATTTAATATCTGAAGTTCACAGATAAAAGTATAGAACATTTTATTTAAGCTAACTATCTTCAACAGTTGGGTCAGAGAATGCTAAATCAGGATTGCCAATTTATTTTAGAAATACACACATGCAGAAAGATGATACTTGCACTGTGGGAGAAAAATTGAGTTTCACAGGAGTGTGAAAATAGAGAGGAGAAAAATCGGTGAATGATCTGCAACAGCTGACACCACCAGCCTAAACCTGGCCAGGAAACGGACTTCCTAAGCACAGCATGACGTAGGCATATCAGTTGTGAGGTTCGCTTGAATAGAACAACTTAATAAATTGTAGAAGTTCCCTCAGCTTTACAAACCCAATTGCTTACCACAAAATCTCCATTCCTTTTCCTTTACTTCTGTCCTTTGCTTCACCACCCCCCTCCCAATTCTTACCCAATGTGCTTTTAGCTGAAAGGCCCATGTTTGTAAATTCTGTTCTTTAAACCTCCTTCCTTATGAATTTAGGGATTCTTTAGAATTCACCTTTTGACTTTGTTTATGGTCTTCCATCTCCAGATGTTGTGCTGTTGCTTTGGACTCATACTGTTGCCTTTGAAATAGAAAATTTGAGCTTGGGTCCGCAATGATGTACCAGTCTGAATCTGAGAGAGCACAGTATTTGGGTTACCTTGCTTCAGGTGATCAGTTAAGCAAACCACACCTCTCCTTTGGGATGATAATAATGGATCCCTGTTGCAATTAGGGAAGATTGGAGTCCTTGGTAACACTTGTTGCTCCATCAAAGTCATTAAAATAGCCTGTGTGTTCATTCATTGGCATAGATAGAGGATGAAGCTCTGAGCCTTCACTCCATTCCGAGAGCAGAGACGTCTCTGCTTAGGTAGTGGATAAAGAGAGAACAAAGCTTAGAGTCCTTACTCCAGGAGAGGAGGTACTTGGACTGTGGGGCACACCTCTACCTAGGGCCCAGCATGAAGAACAAAATCAAAAATGTGATAACCCATTTAAGGCCCATAGGGAATCACTAATTAATGTCCACAAGCAGCTTCTGGAGTGTGAACAGGCAATAGCTTGCCTAGCTGGAACTAATCACCTGAGCCCTTTTTATGATGGGTCTGCAGAAGCGTCTGTCTTGGGCTGGAAATAGAGCCACTATTTATAGTATACATGTGCTATTTTGGTGTTCAACAGTAAACAATGTTCCTTCCCAGTCAGGTTTCCTGAACTATTACAGTAGGAAAACTAAGTTTAATGATTGGTGACCAGTGAATCTAAACAGTTTAAAACTAGAAAAACATATTATTTGTGAAGAAGAGGTAGCTAATTGGAGTGAATTTTGGCAAAAGGAAGAGAAAATTAAATCATTCATATTAAAATTGAATTATAAAGGGTACCAAAAGAAAATAGAATTAAGTAATGTTGTTACTAGTAAGTTTTATAGCTCAGTTTATTTCATTCCTCGGGAGCACAGCTAGAGACATGTTCATGGCACCAAAGTGTCTCTGCTGTAAAGGGGAGGAGTGAGTAGAAGGGCAAGAGTGATAGAGGGGGAATTCCACAGTCAGGTGATCAGACAGGCATTTCTGCAGCATTCGATAGGACTCCAGGATGGTCTGTTGCCTCACTGGTTCCAGGGTCATAGATAGCATGGAGTGGGTTACAGGACATCCTTCTGGGGAGGGGAATCAGCCAGAAGTCATGATCCACATTGGTTCCTGAAAGCAGATTTCGGGAAGTTAGTAAGGAAATGAAAAAGTAGGACCTTGAGCAGTAATCTCAGGATTATACCCATTGCCATGTGATAATGGGCAAAAGAGCAGGAGGATGAATTGATTGAGATGCATACCTGGAGAAATGGTGTAAGCCAGAGAGCAGCATGTTCCAGAGACATGGGAACAATTCAAGAGGAGGTGGTAGCAGTACAAGCTGGCTTACACCTTAACTAGAGATAGTAGGAACTGCAGATGCTGGAGAACCTGAGATAACAAGGTGTAGAGCTGGATGAACACAGCAGGCCAAGCAGCATCAGAGGAGCAGGAAAGCTGA